TCCCCCCTCCACCCCCGGCAGCTTGAGGTGGCCCTCACCACCAGGACAGGGCAGCTTGTCCTTGGATCATCACCAACAACAACCGCAACAACAACAACAGTACAGTTTCTCACAGCTGTAGCCGGCAGCTTGTCATGAACACCAGAGATGATTGGACTTGCCTTGACTTGCTTAGAAACTCTCCCAGAATTGTAGACGTCTGATTCCAATGGAGGAATGATCTTTAGCTGACAATCGTCCAACTCCAACAATTGATACTGATGTGAAAAGGGAAGCATGTTGGTTAGAAATATCACAGAGTGAGATACTTGTGAACATGGAGGGCACTGTTTGCAGGCCTTACCTCAACTGTCGGCAACAGGAGGTCGGGGGTCGCTAGTGAACATTGTCCTGATTTCTGAACTGTCGTCTAAAGGTTTGGAGAAGGTGGAAACACTGCCTGAAACTTTCCACCCCCGGTAACTACACACACTCGATGTAACTACACACACTCGATGACACACCCGAACACGTGGCAGTACACAAGGTCACACTGCACTTACCTTCACTCATAACAACGCACATCAACACATAGCAACAAACGAATCTATTCATAACAAAACATAACAGCATGTAAGGATACATAACAAAACATAACAACACGTAATGGTACATAATAACACCTGATGACACTTTTAGCCGCCACACATCCACACCTATTTACACAGAAGAGTACAGCTTTCATTGTTCATTGTGTTTTGTCAGATACGACTACATTGTACACAGCCTGACTCACAAACAAGTGCCATGTTTTTTTAACTGATCTTTTGTTGAGTTAAACGATGCAAATCACGGGCAAGGATCTCTTCTTATCAATTTTATTACAACGGAAAGTCATGTCGCATAGAAGCAACTGGCTGGCATTCAATTCACTTCCTGTGTACATAAAATAATCTCTGTGTAAGCAAACAATGGGTCAACTTGATGGCAGTGTTTTTGTCCTCCACTCTATGAACCTGTGTGTGACCAAGCATGCTGAACAAAACACTACCAGATTGGTTTTACGATATAATTATGTCCGAGTTGTAAGTCTTAATGAGAGACGAATCATCTATCATTCCAGTTGATGAATTAACAGTTTTGTCATATTTGATGACTTTTATTTATTTCTCAATTCAAAATTTTGAAAATTCATATCCCAAACCTTCATCTTTTTTACTGGCATTAAGTCTCACTTCATGATTTTTTTTTTCAAACAGTGCTAAGAAAACCAAAACTGCCAAAATTTCTGGTGTTCAGAAATAGCAAGAGCCATGAGTCTATGAAGGCAAGACGTTCTTGATAGTTGTTCTATTGTTGATGACTGGCGCGTCTCTGGGGCCTCGCATAGTCTGACACAAGTCACTCGAACAAAGCCACCCACATCTCTCCCATCTTGTGATTGGCCTGTTCACGGGGCAGAACGCAGCCACACTTGTTCCGTCTGTCTCCCCGGGCAGCCCACCCTCACAGGGATCCACAGAAATACTCAAGTGAGAGCAGTTGGGAGGGTGGCTGGTTTTGTTCTGGG